CACACCAGCTGTAAGAGGACAGACATATATCCTCATTCAGGATACAAAAGAGCATTACATGTTGCTTTTTGAGACCTTTTAACCTTCTCCATATTGTCAGATTCTATCAAATTAGTTTCTAGATTCTTTTGGTTTGGCAGCTGATAGGCTCAGGGAGTGATGGGTGAAACTGGCCTGACATTGTGGTTTATTATGTTGGTATTTCATGATTCAACCAGAAGAACAAGTTTTTACATCAGACCAGGTTGGGTAATACAGTTTTTTTTTTTTTTTAACATCATAAATAATCATTTGGAAACAACTTTTTGTATTTATTTAGATCTGTCTGATATTAATATTTGTTCGATGATCAGAAACATTTAAGTGAGGAAAAAAATAGCAAAAGCAGAAAAAATCTGTAAGGGAGCAAATACTCCACGCAGCACTGTTGGTATCACAATATTTGTACCTGAGAGCTATGCTTCTAAATATTCCGTATGATAAGTTACAAATTTTTATATCAATTACCAATGTGTGCTTGTAACAGATTTCCTACCCTACAGTTTAAGGCTGTTCTAAACATCCTTAAAATGTAAAAAATATCAAACTGGATCCAAGAATGGACTATGGTTTACTAGAAACCTGCTTTCAAATTAATGTTTGCAAGAGATTTACACCATATGTGGACAGCAGAATAGTGTCCATATGTGGACACTATTCTTGTGATAATAAGAGCACAGACTAGAATAAATAAACATGAATAAAATGTCATTTGAGTCACATGAAGCTGTTGCTGAGCTGAGCTGCAGCTAATGTATCACCAGGTCGCAAATGGCAACTTTTCTTTTCGACGGTCGGAGAACTGAGAAACTGTGCAACTATTTTCCAGGATCTGACCTTTAGTCAAAGACAGCATTAAAAAAAAAAAAAAAAAAAGAAAGAAAGCAGCGTGGCTCGTGCAGCGTTTGGTGCAGCGGCGAACTGCAGCAGAATGTAAAGGAGCCATGCAGTGAGCGCGGTGCTCTCTGTGTCCCTGGGCTGTTTCTGCTCTGCAACGACAGCGCCGTGTTCACAAAAACAATATCCTCCAAAGATATCACAGAATAACACAATGCTGCAAACAGTGGTCCTTATCTTATGCATACAAATAAAGAAGAACAAATAAAGAACAAATTCACACAGAAATATCTGTATCGCCTCAAAGGAGAACAACATAGAAAACACTTGAAGGATCACAAGCACCTAGATCCGTTTCACTAAACACAAAGAAGTCACAACATTGTTCATGACAAAAGATAAAACTAATACTGTTTATAATAACTGTGAACAGCAACTTTTAACATGGAAAAAAGAAGTTTGTTCTGTGAAACAGTTTCAGTATATTTTACTGATTTAGTAACAAACCACTGATAGATCATTATCTTATTTATTGGAGCTGTTAAAGTCTGTTCTCAGGGTTTAACAAATCTGTTGAGTTAGCCTACCCTTTTAACAACAGTGTGCAAGCTTAAGCAGATAATGAACAATAAAACAACATGAGAGAACTGCATTCATCCAGAAAAAAAGCCTCCTAGGATCTTATCTCAGTGATTATCTTAAGGCTCCGTCACGTGTGATGAAGTAACTGAAGCCCAGAGCACACACACATCGGGCTCTTGCTGATGTCTTTATGGGTGTTTTATGGAAACACTATGGATCATGTGACAGTAAATCAGAGGTTTCCGATGTTTCAGAGTGGCTCACTATTGCCATGACAACATATCCTGGTCCTGAATAGAGTTTGGTGGCTGCCTATCCAGGAGGTGTTATTAAGTGTTATTTTAACTCGACCAGTACAAACACTTTCAAAATGGAAAATATGCATCTGAACATAAACAAACACTTCAGTGTATAGATTTATCTGCCATGTTATTGAGCCAATGAGAAAATAAATCCTGTTACAATATTCCATCCATGACGTTTCCTCACTGCCGTGCCATCCTGGGTCGTCTTTCTTAACAACATTTCAATGTAAAATAGTCTGTATTTTTCCATGTGAATGCAATGCCTCATTTACATCAAAGAAAACTTTGAAAAAATATGAGTCAGGTTTTACAACTGAGAAAAACATTGAGGACAAAATTCAAAAACACCCCATCAGTACATCCACTTAAAGGGCTCCAGTCTGTGAATTTCCTCCACCATGTTGGGGGAAACCAGCCACTTCCTGCTGTCAGCTGCGACTATTGCCCTCACTGAAAAGCAGTGAAATCTAAACACTTTACTAATATATTTACACTCCTAGTGGCCTTATGAAAACATCTTTGTGTGAGATATCACTATCGTGGATGCATTGAGACGAAGAGTGTTAGCCTCTCAGCCTGTTATCTGTGAGCTGCAGGCGGAGCTGGAAATGCCCCCGATGTGCTACCATGACCCCTCCTTCCAGTTCAGTCGACCAGCACAGATCAGAAAGAGGCAACAACTCGAGGAGATGTGAACGGACGCAGTCATCCACGACCGTGACGCTGACGCTTTTATTGAGTGCTGAGAAGGATGGATGTTAAGTCAGGAGGAATCACACCCCTTCCTCTGAAACAATCTGAAATACTCCGCATTTCTCAACTCTGACAGAGCAGAGAAGAAGGAGATAAAAATAATAACAAAAGACCTCAAAAAAAGTCTCAAGCTGCTTCCCTTCCTTTCATATCTTTGTGAGGACATATTTGGTGGGAAGCTGCAGGCTTTCAGAGGGGAAGTGGAGGGTAAATATAATGGAGGACACGGCCAGCTCAGCACAACCTTCATACAAAGCGATGTAAACGTCAATCATCCTATATGACTCCATGCGTATTCAGCACCGGCAGCTTTAAAATTCTCCAATTAAGTAAAAGTTTCAAATCAGCACTCTGCAACACCGAGGCAGCTTGTTGTTTAGGCGGAGGTTCGACTGCCAACGCTGCTGATTCAGGGAGTCCAGAAACATTGTTTCACACAGCAGTGTGTTTTTAAAGATGTTGTCTTTATTGTGGTTTTGGTAAACATAAAGTACACAGATGTCTTTTTGCACCCAGAGCTTCCGATCTGATGAGTTGTGCAGGTATGTATGGACTAAAAGCCCTGATAGGACGGAATCCAGCTGTTCTCTGCTTGTTCACGATGTTATACACAAAGTCATCAGAGGAAGGCACAGGAAGGGCTTCGGTATGAAAGAAAGACAAACTTTTATATTTTCATATTATTTCCCGTCAGTCTGTTTCCTTATGAAAATCTTTTTTGTTGTTTTCTAGAAAAACAATCTTTTTATTTATAATTTTCAAAAAAGTTCCTCGTAAGTGGGCCATCGTGAAAACACTGAAAACAAACCAGGAACTACATCAGGCCTGAACATAGTGCTTTGACTGGGCCACCTGAGTACAGGAAAAGAAGAGAAGAAGAAGTGGAGCGTGTGCACAAAGCTGATTCGTTGATACACTTTGGGTCATGGGGTCAGATTAGAGACAGAGGTCAGACGTCCTTTTCAAAAATAGTTGTATGGATTTTCAGCAGCACTGCCCCTCCCCTACATGTTGCTGTATACACTCAATCAGCTGGCTGACACACACAAAAAAAATAGAAGGCCATCCATTATGACACTAATACGGTTTTAAAACACACTGAAAAGCTTGTGTGTTTGAATAAGTTAACTGCCTACTGCAGGATCACCACAGAGGAAGATAATACAGCTGAACAACATCGACTACTCATTTGACTCCAAAAAGTTTCTGTGTAAAGAGGAGAACAACTGACAATAGTAAATACTCGGTGCACGAAGCACAACATTAAGAGTCACAACAAAATGTAACGTTGAAGTGTTTTGTTTCAGAGTCACCAGTTTGTTCCCAATACTTTCTATTTATTACAGCTATTTATTCCTTTAAGGTTTTATGTCACATCTTATTTCTACTTATTGTGGTTCTAATCCAACATCTGATTGATTATGATTTCTGATCAAATTGACAGTGGGAGGTATTTAGTTTTATTTGAATGATATATGGGTATCAGATTACTTTAAATTTCCGGAGCCATTCTAAAGACATCTGATGGCCTCCTGAGGTCTGGAGGAGATGTAAACCTATTTAGAACCGTGAAACAACTCACTAAAGGAAATTCTCATTTTTGAAGAACCACCAATTTATTTCTATTTTTGAGCTTTAAAATAAAATAAAATTAAAGACTAATAATAATAATAATAATAATAATAATAATAATAATAATAATAATAATAATAATAATAATAATAATAATAATAATAATAAAAACATAATCCTTTGGGAATAGAGGACGAATACATTTTCTTCAATGTAGTAATATTTGTAGAAACCTAATGACAAGAAAATTAGACCTGAAGATAAATTATGTTTTTATAATTCTGTTGTGATAACTCAACATTTTCCAATGAAAAAACGGAAAAACTGCCAACATCTTCATTTGTTATTATGTCTGTAGTTAAAAACACAACAATGGACCCCCAGTATTTGTGTGGTTAGGGGCCACAACTACCCAGGAATAGATAAAATCCACAAATACATTATCCCCCCTCTAAAAACGAATTTAACTTCATAACATAATAGTTAAGACACCAGATATACCTTAATATGCATATATATGAAACCATCTTAGCACAACCACAAAAGCTAATATCTACAGTCTTCCTCCTCTACTATCTTGGGGGTTCGGCCAATCAACGCCAAGGAAAATGAATGGTGCATCTGGATTGGCTGCTTTGCAAATGCCAGCCAATAGCGTGTCAAGTAGCCGAGGTATTTAAGCTCCCCAAGCTGCATTTTCTTTAGAAAATTTCAGATATGCTCCATGAAAAAAATCCATGAAAATATGAATTTTATGCAAATAATTTGCAGTTATATTCCAAAGAAAAATTGACGAATGCTAAACTGCTAATAGGCGGGACTCCACTGTAGTCGGCCGGAGCCAAAGTTATTTAGAGCCACTGTGGAAGGTCTAAAGTAGGGATGAAAAATATGTTTTTTTGATTATTTTTGTACATATTGACATGGGTCTGATATATATAAAACTGTGCCGATATTAACAACCAATGTTTGCTTCCATGATTTACCACTGGTTTCTGGAGGCTGGTCATGTTGTATTTGTTTGGACATGTGACAAGGACAGTCATGCAGTGAAGGATTGTGGGGCGTTAAGCTGAAGTTAAATCAGCTCTGTGATCATTTCTTTCAAGGTGTTGAAAGGATAGTGAAATATTTATATAGATGTAAAATATCTGTAAACATCAGTTATCAGCCATAACAGCGATATTAATATTGGATATCGATATCGTCCCAAACTTTACCATCGGTGCATCCATAGTGCAAAGAGCCACTTGTGGCTCCAGAGCCGCAGGTTGCAGACCCATGAGCTAGAACACAGACACCAGCAGAGCAAAGTTAAAAAGATATTTTCATAAGAATCACAGAATTCTTTCAAATGGCCTGCTGTGTCACCTTTAATCTCAGCCAACACGACTGAATTTAATCTTCATCCTTGACATGCCCAGACCTCCAGCTGATTTAACAAAAGTGTTTATTTAGCATTCTTCACGAGTGTCTATGTATCAATAATTAAAACACATAGAAATAATTACAGATATCAGACCTTATAGCTGCAGTAATGTATTAATCTATGATGTCATTGAAGCAGCAATAGAAATGGCTGATGCTTGCTTTCAAATGAAAGTTGTTAGCTAATGTTTTATATTTAACACATTTTAGTTTTTATGTATTTGTTTGAAAAATGCCAGAAAAAAGTGGCATTTCTGCTCAAAAGATATGATACAACAATAAATCTCCAGTCTCATCAAAAGACACCAAGAAAGACCATGAATGTTAAAGTCCAACTCCGGGGAAGCAACACTGAACCACCAGAGGGCGCCTTTCAAATCCTACTGTGTTCCTGTCAAACAGCTCAAAATGCTTCACGGAAAGGAAGATTCTAAGTATTGCCTTTACTAATCATTGCTACTTTGTAAGATTTAAGTTAAATCTTAAAAAAAATAATAACAATAATAATTTGAAAAACTACTAAAAATATTGAAAATAAGCTAAATATACAAATAAGTCTATGCATCACCTACTTCATATGAAGGTTGTCTACCTGCAGATCTTCACAGGCTACCAAGGGAAACACGCTTTGAGCTCAACACATGCAGCTAAAATACACACAGGTGGTAAAAAAAGGCACCTGTGCGCCAGCATTTCAAGAAAGAGCAGCTAAAACCGCCTCAGCGGGTCTGTCTGCCGCACACCGCCGCCAGGCAGACAAACATGCGCGGGTGCATCTATGTGTTCAGCTACTGCCGACTCCATGAGAATGCCAAACAAAAAGTCTCTGCGCTGCAGAAGTGACGTGACGTCCCACTGAGGATGTGTGGCTTATAAAAGGCCTTCAGCTTCTGATCTACAGTTAGTTGTACAGTAAGTCTAAGAGATTTCACCTGAGTTCATACAACAGTCTGTATGAAATACTAACACGTTTACCTGGAGGTTTTATCTCCAAAAAACAAAAGTTTCAGCTTATTCAATTTGTAAATCTAAATGTATTGTACAAATAAAAGCTGTTTCTTAACGCAATGCCACAGACAGAAAGGTTGAAAACCTATTCCTAAGATGCTTTGATGACTTATTTACATATAAGCTCTGCTTCCTTTAGTAAAAAGCTTTATCACGTGGAAAAAACCGACTAAATCTTTTTCTTAAAAGTCTCCGTCTTAGAAGAGCTGAGTAGTTTACTAAAGGCAAGGCAAGGAAAATAAAAGCTTTGCTCTAAAGTTTACATGGGGATCGTTCTGTTGTCTGCTGTCAGTCTTTCAGCATCACTGACACATTTAGATTCGCTGCTCCTCCTGCTTCCTGTCCGCTTCCTCCTCTGATCCCCCAGAGTCAGGCAGACAGTGAAAATAGTTAAGAGTTTAAAAACCCTCGACCTCCTGGGTGTTTCTACAAGGCCACATTCTGCCTTTTCAGAAGGTTCTAGAAAAGAAAACAAAAAAGACACCCTACTGCACTGCTGCTGCTCCAGCTCTGCTGCAGAGCCAGAGGCCCGCGGGGCCAACCAAGAGGGCAGGGGCCCCCTGGGATCCAAACACCCTGTCACCATGCAACAGTAGGCTCAGGCTCGCTATAGCCGGCTGACAAGCCCAAAGTTGAGTCGGTGAGGTCACAAGAGGTCATCGTAGTCCAGCAGCTTGGAGTGCTGACGGCTTTTCCAAAGGCGGTACAGGCGGAAGTCGAAGTACATCTCGATCATCTCTTTGCCTGCAGGGAGACACATGGGAGACAGAAAGTCAGCCGACCACGACGCTCAACTCAGGAAAACCAGATGACACCAGCACCAGCTTCCTGCTGCGGTCACAAACCCAGTGACCGTTCAGGTCATTTAGCAAAAATAAATCCCATTTTCTCCAAACTGGTTGAGCTTCTATTATGGAACTGCTGGTAACAATCTGCTTTAGTGACTTTGTTTCATAATGACAATGCAAAAATATGTCTCGTTATTAAAGTATAGTAGAGCTTCCATTTCATCACCTTCCTCAATACATCTATTGGAAAGTAGGAGGTAATCATTTTTTTTTTTAATAACTTATCAAAAAGACAAATTCTAACCAATAAGAGCCACAGGACTGACTTCCAAATCTATACAGAATTAGGTTATTTTAATTTTTTCTGAGATAAAGAAGTATTTGCCACATAATTTAATGGAAATCTTGACTAGAGCTTGGGTCTTATGGCTTCCTTCACTCTAAAGAAGCTGACTAGATAACTACCGTACCCGTATAGGAAAGTGAACGCTGTGATGCACATGGGTTGGAGCCGATGGAAGCTTATTTAATGACTGTCAGTCCATTGATGAATGACTGAGATCAGATTTGCTGCCAGTAATTTGATTGCTGCAGGCAAGAAGTGGGTCACCGAGCTGCAGTCTTTGACTTTGTGCTCTGGTGTCATTTTTTTACGAGCCTGGAAATTTTCAACATACTGGGGCTGAGAGATCTTGCCAAAAAAATGATATGACAATATACATATATATTTTTAAACACCTCCATAATGATATCACAGATGATATTCCACATTTGTTGTTTTTTCAGTTTTTGTTTTTTTTAGTTTTTTTTTATTTGGACCAATAAATATGTACCTTAAAAACAAAGCTGTTTTTTTTTTTTTTTTTTTTTTTTTTTTTTTTTTTTTTTTTTTTAAAAATTTTTTTAAAAAAAAAAA